TTCACCACCTCAGCCCCACCATGGCTGGGGCTGAGGTGATAAAATTTGAGGAAATAGTACCTCTCGAGATGGCCGGAAATGACACTTTTATATAGTAAAATTCATCATCATCACATTACCATTATAGTCAAACAACATATTTCTCATGATCTTTTATCAGGGATCTACTTAATATCCAGGACGACTTATGCCTAATTATAGCTTGCTTACTAAGCTTTAACTATGCTATATTATGATCAACAAATCACAACTTTTTTCGCATTTAGCACAATTTTCTTCACTTTTTATTGTTATTTATATTATTATCAATTATTACTATCGTCATCATCATCATTGTTATTATTATTATTATTACTATTAGTAGTAGTATTATTAAACAAACATTTAAAGAAACTTGCAAAAGGATAAAAACGAAATTGAACCACAGTATCGCATTTCTATCTTAAAAGACCTGGCCTGATATTTATTGATTTAAGATTTTTTTAAATCACGCTTAGGCCTATGTGTTCTATTAGGCCTACGTATAACGGGTACTGGTGCATATTTACATGTTTTAGAAGTATTCATTTTGAGTGATCCCAGGAAAGAACCTGTATTGGCTCAAGAATAATCTTTAAAATTTTAACACCTGTGTACAAAGGGGGGGGGAGGGAGCCACGGCTCCCACGGCTGCCCCCCACCCCCCGGATACGTCCCTGGCTCTTTATGTAAAACATTTTCCAACTTCCAACAAATCTATTTCCTGTTTTTTTTTTTTAATTTTATTATGTATTACAAAAACATGTGACATGCCTAAATATGGTATAAAAGTATAGGCATATGACTAATTTTTTTTACAACTGTTTTTGTCAAATACAATTTGATAGTCTGGACAGAGCTCTAATGAATTAAAATTTGATTTGATATTAATATATTGTAAAATATTACAGTATTCAGTATTCAATATTCAGTATATTTATTGTCATTTGTAAAAACATTTTTAATAGAAATAGAATTACAAGGGTCCGGTCATAAATGAATAATATAAATAATAACTAGGTATCTGAGACATTGACAATAAATAGAGAGATGGAGAAGAAAGTGAGGCATTCGAAATGTGGATGTTTATAAGAATGTTGAAGGTATCATGCAGGGACAAGGTAACAAACGAAGAAGTATTGAAACAGAGTGAATGAGAAGAAAACAATGATGAAAACAATTAAGAAAAGAAAATGCGAATATTTTGGGCACATAGTAAGAGCGAACCAACTGCAAAGAATGTTAATGAAAGGAAAAGCTGAAGGAAAGAAAAAGAGGGGAAGACCAGGAAGAACATGGGTCAAGAACACATGTGAATGGACGAACCGAAGCTATGAGGAAACAACAAGATCAGCTAAAGACAGAAAGAAATGGATGAAAATCATAGCATCCGAAATTCTTGATGGATATGGAACTCACTGATGATGATGATAAAAATTGTAACAATATCAGGTAATAAACTACTCTCCCAGGCTAATAAGACTCGAGGTCGTTTCTTATTTTTAAAAATTCAGCTAAAGACAGAAAGAAATGGAGGAAAATCATAGAATCCGAAATTCTTGATGGATACGGAACTCACTGATGATGATGATAAAAAATGTAACAATATCAGGTAATAAACTACTCTCCCAGGCTAATAAGACTCGAGGTCGTTTCTTATTAAAAAAAATAATAAAAAAAATACTGTCCATTATTAAGTTGGTTTAGAATTACCTCGTCAATAATCGGTTTGATATTACTGCATGCTCCTTGCTTAATAATTAGTCTTGCATAAAGTTATTGCAAAATTATAGGCAGTCGTTATGCTATGCTGTGCCAAGGTAGGGCCAGTGCAAGGACGCCAACGGAGAAAAGAGTAACGACTAATTTTTCTTTCGAATTGTACTAAATAAACATAAGAGCATTGGCCACTAAAAGGTAGATAAATGATGAGGAAATTGTCAAAAACAAATACACACAGACGACAGCAAATAAAACATAACATTTTATTTGAATTAGCAAAGAATTATTCTTAAGCTTATCTTAACTATGTAAGATATATATTTACCGCAAAATGGCAATCTCTTTACTTTTCTCTTACTCTTGAACACACGATAAGATAGGTAAATAAGCAATTCTTTTGTTAATTACTCATTCATGCAAACCCTGAATATCAAAACATAACAATGTATCAAAATCTAAATTTAGAAAAATCACATTTATTACTCATTTTGATCTCTTTTATACAAGTATGCATTGATTATAAATGTTGTACCCGCATATATTTTTTATGTGAATAATTTGATTTCTGTCTCTTATACACATCTAGATGTGTATAAGAGACAGTACATATATATAGGCCTATATGCCAAACGCTTATAAGAAGAAGGCGTATAATACTGATCTGTTATTTGCCATGCATCAAAAACTAGTGCTGTCTAATTACTTGTGCACAAGAGTGCCAACAAAGCCTCAATAGCCCAGTTGGTTAAGGCGTCTGTATAAATCGCGGACGGTCCCTGGTTGGAATTCCGGTCAGGGCAACTTTTCCAAACGGCGCAGATTCCTCTCCTTTAACGTTCTTACCAAATACACTTCAACGCACAACTAATATACGAAAATTTAACTTTGTAAATATTTATATTATGTCTATGATTTTATACATATAGAAACAGATATATTAAAATGTAATAAATTATAGCTGCCTGTGGTTACTTTTTGAAATTTCGCTTCAAACGTAACAAAGGTTATTAAAATATCCTAAATTTCGATGACGATAACGTACGATAACAACTATGTTAATAATACCAAAATTAAATATAGTAATTCAGGATGATCCGATGTGAGTATTTCCTATCTTACTTGTAATAAATATCATATTTACATTTATAGCTTATAATAATTATATTCACAACGGACAGAGATAAAAATTGTATATATAATAAGCCTGCTTTTGTAACTACATTGAATAATTTTTGTAAATTACAAGAAACAATAGAGTTATACTTTCGGTCCCGAGGGTTCACATACATACTAAGAAAGCAGGAGGTGCGCTTTTTAGATAAATTTCCCCACGTTTGCGCACCGATTTACTGAAACAACCCCGCCGAAAATTCTTGTTTTGATGTGTACTAGAAATATACTTCCCTTCAAGTACCTAGTTAGGCCTAACCAGTGTACACAGCTAAAATCATGACACTTTAATTAAAATTTTAACCCGATCATTTTCGTTGAGCTACCAAGGAAAACAAACCCCCATAAATGCGGCACCTCTCCGTAGGGAAATATAAGTTTGAGTCCCCTGGATCTAGGTTTATGTTCTTGGTACAAAGACCTATACTTTTTTCAAACAATTATTGTTAGTATTGCATTGCTTAAACCCCTACAAAATTTAATATTATGGCAATATTTTTTCAAGAATAATGATGTTAATAATGATGATGACGACATCGACGAAGACAACGATGATGATGATGATGATGATGATGATGATGATGATAATGAAGATGATGATGTTGTTGTTGTTGATGATGATGATGATGCTGTTAATGAGGATGATGATAATGAAGATGATGATGATGATGATGGGAGTGGGTGCTTCCCTTTGTTTCTATGTTGGCAGAGTATTCAAACTCAGTTGATAATAATGATGATGATGGTGGTGGTGATTAGGACGACGAAGACGATGATGATGATGATGATGATGATTACGATATTGATGAAGATGATGATGATAATGATGACGATGCGAATGGGTGTTTTTCTTTATTTCTACGTTGCCAAAGTATTAAAACTAAGTTCGTTTAAATTAAATGCATCCTCCGTTTAGTTGAATTATTATGTTTATTTTCATTCAGTACTCATACATGGTGGTGGTTTGGTCATGCTGTTAACCTGCTCGTTGGTGACCCTGCTACCATAGTTCCAGTAAACTATTAACAGCAAGTAGAATTCATTAAAGATTATTCGCTAAAGGGATAAGCTACTACTTATTTAACCCTTGTGGCTCCTGTAATATTGGATTCACAGGAACGAATGACGAACTCATAGATGAAAAGTCAATTTGTTGTCAAGCTAATTATGTTCGTTCCAGTTGCTAAATATGAATACACCACGAAAAGTTCTTACGAGGTTATTTTAGCAAAATCGCCTCTTCATTGGTATCTAAATAAACGGTAAAGTCCCGTGCCAATCAATGAGAGCCTCGGGCCACCTAGAAGAACATGAAAAGATTCAATTAATTATACAGCAATTAATTTGTAGCCTAAGTCAAAATAATTATATACCAAAATATCTACCTGCAAATTAAACACTTCAATTAGTTTTAATATCATGCAAAAAAATACAATACTAATTTAATTTATTTGTAACATTAATAATATAATACCAAACATAATAACAGGACAAGAGTTACAGCAGCATAAATATATTATTATGAAAACAAACATTCAGAAAACACATATTCAAAATGTTATACCTTGATGATATGCATTCTTCTAATAACGGTTTTCGTTCTCCTTTAGAATAGTATATACTCTTTTTCCTTTCACCATGCTTTGAAATGTTGTCTGAAAAGACAATAATTTTTAATTAATTTAATTCGTTGACCCTGTGATTCAACTGAGTGAAATCAAGTTTCGAGTAGCTAACTGTCTATTGTATTTCGTCTGCGTTCTTGCACTCTCAACTTATGGTATCTTATATTATGTTTTGGAACACTGAATGTGGGAAATGTACTTTTAATATTACATAAAGAAGATTTGCATGTTTTCGTTTAATGTCACAAATTGAGAAAGTATTTAAAAATCATGGCGGTTTATATGTATTTTTTATATATAGGAGAATGAAATATATATGCTCTCGGAACGTACCGACAGTTATTTTTGCCTCTTCGGTCTGACTTCGCTGTCCTGTGTAGTAGCGGAGATCGAAGCAGTGTTCAGAACGTGCCTCGCGAAGTAAGTTCCTCTTTAAGCAAAACAGTAGTCCACACTTTCCATTGATATACGTTACCCATACGGGATACTTAGGAGTCTTTAGCATTGTGCCAACCTTTTTGTAAAATCAGAAATGAACCCATCACTGAATGAATATTTGATATATAAGCATAAGCCGTCATAAATCTCGTTGTTATCTAATGATATTGACCAGATTATAACAGACGTTATAACCAAAATAAGCCCCGTTCCTTGTAAATTATTGCTAAGTTCCCACAAACGATTGTGTATAAACATACGTAAACACGTGCGTTTTTGGGAAAACACGTGGTGGGACAAGCGCGTATTCCATTTCCTGTTCTGATTGGTCAGTTGTTAAGTTTGACTGACAATCCGGAAAGGTCCATTGCTGTTGATTTTATGTGAATAATTTGATTTTGACGCTAAATTATTTCTCATAAATGATAAAAATATTGTGTATAATCTAATTATTTAGTTAATATATTACTTAATGAAGCATGACAACAACTTTGATATCGATAAACAATCTCACTGTTGATAATTTAAGAATTAAAGGTGATAATAATTAATCATCTAACCTCAATAATTTGTGGACGTTGGTGGCGCCCGTCTCGGTGGTCTAAATACATTATTCCAATGTCGCTTCTTCGAGACAATCCAATTTGAGGAGTTACCTGAGAAGTGGACGCATAAATATATAAGTACATTTTGGAAATTTAAAAATATTTAGATGATATATCTAAATGTTTTGGTAACATCATTAGAATAATTTACCTATCACTGAAAAGTCTTTGTTTTTATGAGACCCAGTAACATTTTGCCTACACTCAGTGTTCATATTTATCAGTTTCATGCTCAAAATGTTCTTTTTTTTTAATTTTACACACTTTTTAAAGACAAAAAATTATTAATGTACTGTACTGTATTATTGAAAGTATTGCTGTACAGTCATGCCTACTGTACATAAGGTAGAGATACGACCAAGCGAATTACAATAGAACGTAAAACAGGATTTACTTTTATATTACTATTTCTCAATTAGAATTTCATACCTATTTCAGCCATGATGACCGACTGTGATAAACACTACAAAGCTAACCTATGTTGATTTATGTATGATATAGTATTAGGATAAGCAATATACAATATGAAGGACCAAAATGGCTCCAAAAGTGATTCAGTTAGTTATTGACAATCCTATATAAGATATTAGGCGTATATGTTTTGTTTGCTTTTGGCATTAATGTATCTTTTAATATGTTGTACTCTAGTATTTTGGATCCTCACATTTGCCATAGACCCATAACGGAACGCAAGCGTCTTAACCACGACTGATTTAGAGCTCTATGCCAAACATAGAGTAGAGTAGCCTTGTAAATTGTATGAAAAAAAATAAGAATACAATTTTTTTTTAAACAAAACCAATATTTAAATGAACATTTCCGGTGATTATTATCTCACCATTTTGTCTCCATATTCGTCGTATTCATAGGAGCCATTGAATAAATACGGTGTCGCTTGTCCTGTGAGCAACAGCTTGACCATGTTTGTACTGCATCGATCAGAGGGCAAAATTAGCCTCTCACCCTGTAAATCTTCCGAGAGTCTGTAGAAACAAAAAAAACCATGAACGAAAAGTATTTAGTTAACGATTTTACGTTACAACAGTTAATAACGTCACAGTTTGGTATCCAAAATGTATTTTTAGAACCATAAAGATTGAGTTTTAGCGTAATTTCACAACAAAATAACGTTGCGACGTTGTGTCAACGACATTTTCTGACATACTAAACCATTAGTTTTAGAGACAATCTGCTAAAGACCATGGGAACCCTGGTCGCAAATGTGGTCTTTAATCGGAGGGAGACTTGTGTTACGTAAATGTAGTAGGTCAGATAAACTGAACATGTTCTGTGCAATAAACAAGAAAAAAACAATTGAATTAATTAGTGATGTGTACTTACTTTTCAGCAGACCTGGATAAAAGAATACTGTAGATAAAGATGAGGATTCCATGGGTACTTTGGAACTAAAAATGTAAGAATCGTAATAAGGCCTATTACATGAGTTGTAAAAAAAATAAATCAAACATTTACAAAAGTAAAAACACTCATTCACATGAAAGTTAATTTGAAAAAGAAATATGGACTAGCTTCTGTGGGTCTAATAGGATTTGAAACATTTAAGTGTTCTGCTATCAATACCAAACACTTTACACAACCTTGTGATTATTCTGCGTTCAAACCTGTGAGAACTGATGTCACAACTTGTAACATATGCGAGAGAGAGAGTGCATTCATTTGACAAACTCTAAAATGGCATTATTTTTTCCTATTCGAGATTTTGACAAGCGCCCTCACATCGATGTGCTCCTTTGCCTAGCCTATGTAAAAAAAGTGCATTCAGAACGTTATACAGCGCAAAACATGAGGTTGCAAATAAAACATACAAAAATCACTGTTTGTCTTAAATAATAATACTTAAACAAATTGCAATAAATACATTTGCTCGTTTGTGTTACATCCGCCTTTTTCCACACTAGACCTACTACTACAGTGCAATTCGAGGAAGAAAATTCTACTCGAGTTCACAACTTGTGTTTACAAGTTCACCGAACAGATGAACGCGTTTCAAAAGTTGTGAACTGAGAAACACCGACTTCACAAGTTCTAATGAACGCAGCATTAGAATGCTGTATTCCATGATATCAAAGGCCGTAGATAGAACTAACAATACTATACTAATATGGAGATTCTTCACCTAGGTGCAGCATTTATCATAATATTTTACCTGGTATACAGATAAAACGGCATTTCAGTAAGCCGGGCGCGATTTTTTTTTCCGTACGAAACATTTACATGAAACTCCACTCGGGCCGTCTCGGCTGAATCGACCCGAAAATCTCATTGCAGAATTCAGGAGGTCAAAAGGTCATTAACAGATAAACGCCTACAGAACAACTTCTGAGAAAACGTCGCTGTCTAATTTTTAAAAATACATT